TCGCTCACTGACTTCGCACTTTTTAACGAGAATATGCATCTTCCAATCTTATCGACCCGAGCAGCGCGGCGTGCGTTCAAAACGGCTTGAATCAGAGTTCGAATTTGCTTACTGAATTCCGCCATTGCACTCCGTGGACTGGTGCACAATTAGAATTCAAGACCGTGTCGCTGCTCATGAGCACTCCGTACTGCTGAGGAGTTATGACGTCAGGGATTCAAACGCGTTCTTGCGTTTGGTTTGCCCGTGGTTGAGCGGAAGATCACACTTGTAGGCGTGTAACTTTTTTCAGCGCGTCGAGGTGTAATGGGCTACACATGAAGCTATATCTATGTATTTTCTGCATGCATCGTCGGTATTTAGTAAAATTTATAATAATAAGAGTATGGTGTCCCCATATGCATATATGACATTTTCTATAAGTTCTGTATGGAACGGAATGCTTGGGGAATTATACTGTTGACGAGACCAGTGTCTACGTGTCTCCCTCTTTTGATGTGAGTGGCGTGAGGCAATCACTTTTGACGGGAAAAATTCTCACGAAAGTAAAGCTCGGACTTTTCGAGGTTTCAACTTCTGTATAGCCAGAATCTTGTACAATATAAAGCTGAGGTTCCCCCTCAGTACAAAAAGTCAATATAAAGACTCCAGAGTTTTTTTTAGTAAACTCGTTAAGAGCCCTCAAGGCTTTCTGCATGTAGCTTTAAGAATCGTTTACTCGTTTAAAGTCAATTGCAAATTGGCCTTTAAGCTCTTAAGTCATTTCTTGCTTTCCCTTAAGTCAGGACTATCCTTCGCCGTCCACGTCGAGAATCGCTTCTCGGTTTTGAAATTTTTTCTTTTTTCTTTTTAGTTCGTGCAAGCGTGTGTGTTGTATTTGAGGGACTGTTGTTAGCAGCTCCCTCCAGCAGCTTGAACTACTTCGAACCGCCATCTCAACAATAAACGAATTAAATTTGACAGCGCGGCAAATAGGCACGTCAAACATTCCTGCCAAAGCTATACTTTTTTCCTTGCCCAAACAGCATGAAGGGAGATGAAGTATCACGCAGTCCATCAATACCGCAAATTGAGGTGATGGCGAATACGATTTGTCTTTACATGAGTTGATGACACTAGTGCGGATGTGATTAGTCATTAGAGAGCTGCTGTGCTAGGCTTACTGCACTTGTCTACTCCGGACGATCTAAATATCGTTGCCGTCATTTCATGCATCATGAGATTATCGAAGCGGAAGCAATAACTGTTCTTCTTTCTTAACGATGCGTTTGACGATGAACGTGGCTATATATCGTGGTGGAGAAAACAAGCTTCTCTTATAACTGTTTGTCGAGTTGGGTACAGCAATCACCGCCAGACAACAGCGATACCTTTCTCAAGCGCTGTTTGCCTTGCGGGTCGTGCGAAGGGTTGGGCGTATGGCAAGCGTTTTTACAAAATTAACTTCTGTACCGGCTACGATCGCTTCAAGATCAATTTAGAGAAGACGTTTGAGCCATCACAGAGTGTTCCGTGCCCATGCCGATTTCTAGAGGCTTAAGGTCGTTAAGTCCTACATTTGCTTGCATAGCATGCTCGTTATTCAATATCGAACATTGTTGACGGACCAATTAACAGTTCAAGGCGAGGTGTTACATTCATAGCGGTTTCGAATGGTTGGACGATACCACATCAACTGCTTCGTGAGTTCCCCAAAACGCTTGACAAAGTCATCGACTGTGCGATGCAGAAAGAGTACGACATCAAGCAAAGCCCGCTTCGTACCAAGGCAAACGCTTCAGTCGACTGCTACATGTGATGGTCAAGAGTCAAAGGACATCCCGTTCATTTCTCTGCGTCACAACGATGGAAAGTGTTATAGATGTAAGAAACGGGTCATTTTTCTCGGAACGACGAAGTAAGTGCTCGTTTGGAAGACCGTGGACCTTATATCGGTCGAACGCTCCCAAGGGTTAGAAAAGGAGACTACCAGTAGCGGCGGGACTCCCGACTAGGCTAAAATAGAGTTCCGTAGATGCTGCGGGTATAAAGGACTCTAGTTCAAACGTGCATAATGCACATGCAGTTCTATTAAGAGTGTTCGTGGCGTCACACAAAGTGCGATTTTACTGTCCAAGATGAATTTGTCGATGGTCTAAAAATTATTACGAGTTTGATTGCCTCTGGTGCATCGAACAACATTGTTTGATATCAAGTAATGACTGGGCACTGTGTTGGCCTTCTCAATGTTGAAAAGCGAACGATCATCTGTCTAGCGAGCGGATTCACGATGGAGATACCTAAGTATGTTTTTCGCTTGGCAGTGAAGTCTGGAAATTTTCAATCTGATGACGAGTTTATCCTTCTTGACCTCGATGAAATGTTTGAACTTATCGTAGACATGCCATGGTTGAAGGGGTTGTCAGCCTAGCATTGACTCTATGAATTGTCAGCAAGTCGCTCAGCACTGATATGTGCTGCATGACGACGGACAAAGTCGTATAGGTGTATGCATTGGTCAAAGATGTTCCAAGTGCTATTGTGATGTGCGATGTCTCCCGTGCTTACAGGACAAACCTAAGAAGACAAAAAATGACACCAATTAAACGTGAGACAGTCAGGTGCCAAAAATGTCTCTTTTACGTCGACATGGAAGTTATGAGCGATGGTATATGACGAAACGTAGGACTAGAGGCAAAGGCCTATTCCAGAATAAGAAAAAAGGACACCAAGAAGAATTTCTCGACAGTTTTTTGCGTGTTTTTCATCACGGTACGAGGTGTAATGATGAAGAAAGACTCCAAAAACCAGACACTTAGAGCAAATTGTAAATTTTGTGGTTAAGAAAGAAAAAGGTGATGGCGATGTTATCCATGACATGAAACTGAAAACTTTCCACGTTCAGTCAGAGAATAATATTTCTTTCCAATAGTCAGCACGAAGACACGAAAGCGCAACCTAAAAAAGGGCAAACTTGCGTTGGTGTGCGTGATCATCGAGAAGTTCGACGACGAAATTATGGACATTGCATCGATTACTTATGTGGACGTGTTGGAATACAGAACTTGGAGGGAGGGGGCTGAGAATTAGCTATGAGATGCTCTCAAATTCAATCCTACACACGAATTTGTCAACGAATATGAAGCATATGCCAGACAATGTGCCGAACGAACTGCCATTTGAAAGAGGCATCCGTCATGGGATTGACATTCTTTTGTTGTTATGAAGTATTGTATCACACGGCAGTTGTTATTGCCGAAAGCGCAAGTCATTGAAATGGACGAGTTATCCGGGCAGCAAAAGAAAGCTGGTCATATGTGTGAAAGCAAATCTTCCCACTGTGGTACCAGTATTTGTGTGAAGGAGTCAACTAGTGAATGACGTATTTTGAGTGCTTTTGGAATACTTTGCACTGTGGTGTAATTGTAAACGCTCATAAAAATATTGGTGTATTTCAAGACGATGAACTACTGAAAGAGGTCCGCGGCACAGGTGAATCCGCGGTTCAAGTGGGCTGCCAGCTGCACATCATAAAAAGACAAATTTATCATAAGAGAGTGCGTAACGTGTATATTAGCACTAGTAACAAGATTGAGCATTAACGGATGCGCTCTTGGAATAACAGCGTAACATAGACAACTAAGCCTTTCGCCTCTGTTCCTGCAAGCCCACCCTCTATTCGCTTGATAACATGGATTCTCTAAGTCAAAGCTTTATCTGTGAAAGTATCTGGCAGCCCCGTTGCAGATACCCTACCAATATTTGCTCTCAGTGCGATGACACCTAAATAAGGCTGAGGCGATCCTGAAAGTGCCTCGCCAACACTTTGTCTGTAACACGGGTTACATGAGAGTGACCCGTCACTCTCCCAAGGGAGCTGTGGTGTGGCATACACCACATTACTAGATGGGTACATGGCTTGAGAGTCATGTAATAAGAAAACATTAAGGAACACCTATAAATATATTCAGTCTTAAAACTACCTAAATTTGGTTCATGTAATAGTAACGTGTCCTCGGACCAAGGATCTGTGAACTGCCGTTCACTTAGAGTTTGTATACTTCTGGAAGTCAAGCTTCCTCTGTGCAAGGTGCCGTGTGACCCGTCACATTATCAAAGCTAGTTAATGTGTCTAGGCGAGCGGTTATGGCTTCTAGCTCTTGAGCCATGAACCGTCTGATCTCTTAGGGACTTGCGATACATATGAGCTTAGCAAGCGTGTATAGCTGTATCTGTGATAGGTAATCGACAGACTCGAGTTTTTTTTCTGACTGACGATACAGATTTATACGACTTGGTCGTCATGTTGATGACTAGTACTTCCAGGTGCGACGGGGTCGACGAGCACATCGCGCGCAGGGTGCTCTACTCAAAGAGTCTGCGCTAACGATACCAAAGTTTAATTCGTACGCTTCGAACCGAAGCGCAAACGAGAGCCTTTGACGAAGCCAAATGTTTATTTTTGCTTTTCCATTGTCTCAAATTCGACTAATTCTAAAACAGTTATATTTTACATGTCACGATAATAAAAATAGATGAACTGTAGGATGTGAGGCTAGCACCCGAGGACCCCCGTTGCAATGTTCGATCTTATTCATCATTGGTACTTCAAACTAATGCACAACAGTGCAATATGTGCATATACTATAACACGTTATACACACCATTACATGGACTAGAACAAGCAGGGTAGCAGAATAATTAGAAAAATATTCATAGCGTTCTTGCATCATACTCATCGTCAGGGCAGATCAATACTCCCTTCTAGAGGTAAAGGCGGTGCTACATGTCTGGCCGATAAAGCACAATGCCGCTTCGTTTTCCTACATTGCCTACAAATGTTCCACCGACAAATAGACGAGCTCTTGCTCAAGTTATACCCTATTACAACTCAATATAGCATAAAGCATAGAGATTTGCAAGATACCATATGGCTAATATTAGTAATCTTTCTCACTGTCAGCGGTGTGCTTTATTTAAGCAAACGTCTTACAATTAAATTAGTCTGTCGCTTCCAACCCATGGTGCTTACGGACAAGCAGCGCCAAGACCTGTGCGTTTCAGCAATTTTAGTGTATGTCTACCTCTCTCAACTCTGACATTTAAATGCAGTCATCAAGCCATGCTTGACTACCTCGTAGGCATGGGCGAACGCTTTGCCGGCACGGCCACCGCTTTTGAAAATGAGGCTGATGTGACCAAATCTTGCGATGGCAAACATGCTGGTTTGCTCGAAAAAAAATGGACATCTGTCATCCGTTTGCAGCGTAAAGTCATGGAGCTCGAAACGAAGCTGGCACAACTTGAGGAAAATGCCAAATTGGGTGGTGTTCTCAGTCGCCGAGATATGCTGGGCGCTCGTCAGCGTACCGAGTTCTTGCCGCGTGCACCTGCCAAGCTCTCGCTAACGGGACATCGTTCGCCAATCACGTGCGCTTGCTTTCACCCCATCTTCAGCGTGCTTGTATCTGGCAGCGAGGATGCTACTGTCAAGGTCTGGGATTTCGAGACAGGCGAATACGAGCGTACGTTAAAAGGCCACACCAACCCCGTGCAAGCCTTAGCTTTTAATGATTCCGGATCATTGCTGGCATCCACATCCACGGATCTGTCCATCAAGATCTGGGACTTTTCGAGCGATGGTGACTACGAGTGTTTGAGGACTCTACGCGGACACGATCACAATGTTTGCGGTGTAGTATTTGGTCCCGACCTCGCAAGCGACCGATTGTACTCGTGCTCTCGTGATAATACTATCAAAGTGTGGGAACTTTCCACAGGTTACTGTGTCAATACTCTAAACGCGGGACATTCCGACTGGGTGCGCGACGTGGCAGTAAGTCACGATGGACTGTATTTGGCTTCATGTGGCAACGATAGATCAATTCTTTTGTGGGACCTGCAGCACATGCGGGTATTGCAGTCAATTCGCGAGCACGAACACGTCGTCGAAAGCGTAGTTTTTGCCAAGCTAGGGCAGGAGCACGTCATTGAAAAAATCCACGCTAAGAAACTTGCGGCTGCAGGTGTATTTAGTCCAGCAAATGGAGGCACCTCACCTCAATCCAGTAGCCACGCCATGTCTGATAGTACAGCGGGAGAGCCTACTGGTGCTGTTGCGGTCTCCAGTGTACCCACCATCCGTCGCATGAAATTTTTGTTGTCTGGATCTCGTGATCGCACAGTACGTCTTTGGGAAGCTTTTAGCGGCGTGCAGCTGATGATTTTTGCGAATCATGAGAATTGGGTGCGTGAAGTTCGATTTCATCCAAGCGGCAAGTACGCTCTCAGTGCCGGTGAAGATAAAACTATACGCGTTTATGACATTGAAGTAAGGAAATTCTGTAACAATATGCTCGAGTGTTGCTAACGTGCTAATAATTTTTATGGTGGCACATGTACAGAGTGGTCGCTGTGTGCGGACGCTGGATGAGGCTCACAGCCACTTTGTGACGTGTCTAGATGTTCACCCGAGTCTCCCTCTGATTGTTTCGGGTGGCATCGATAAAATTATCAACGTGTGGGAATGTATGTGAGGAAGCATGCTTCCATGAATTCAAGAAGCGCTTCGTATAAAAATATTTTCGATAATCTGTTTGAATATTTTGGTGTCCCATTCATCATTTGACAATGACTAAAGTAAAGCTTAGAAGGATGACAACTGTAGAAGCGGCGCTTCTTGCGGTTAAAACGTTTCTAATCCACTTAGACATGATAAATGATGTATGGACTAGGACCTGAGAAGGAATAGTCGCTACGTAATCAACCGCGTTATTTCCAGCTATACCGCTAACCTGAAAAGACGTTTCTCTCCAATACGAATACCTAACGTAAGCAAACAAAACAGAGACGATTGTTCTCATCGAAATATTATCGACCGTTAAGTCAATCTACGACGGGCAGGCACCCTCTCTTCCTTTCCATATCTTCAGGGTCATAAAGAATGGTCGACGAAGATTAGAATTCACCACCGAAGCACATAACCTCTATGCCGGCCAGCAGATAGCGAAAAATCTACACTCACTCAGCACTCGCTGTGCTAGATTCAGCATTAATAGCATCATTCGATTGCAATTATCTCAGACGACGAGCCTCACGCTCCCACTCAAGTAGGCACAGAATGTCACCTTCACGCACAGGTCCCTTAACGTTGCGAATGATTTTACGCTTGTCGTCCTGCAAGAATTCCACGCGCACCTGAGTCACGTTACCCGTGTTACCCGTTCGTCCAAGGACGTTCACGACCTTGGCCAGCATGTAGTCGCGAGGAGCATCCTATTGACAGAGTCACATCCACATATTTAGCTACGCGCTTTATCTGTGTAATTATGGCAGGTGATGACGCTGATTGGGTGTGTGCGCTCGGATATAACTCATCCATCCAAAAAATATTCAGACATAGCGTATCACCCGCTTATAACGTCAGTGCAGCACTTGAGTTCATATGTGCACGCGCCTTGTAACTGTTAAATTTGACTCACCATTTTTGCGTTAAACGTCGATGAGGTTGTGCAATGAAAATGTGGGTAGTTTTTCTAATTAACGACTGGCGGCGGAGGTTTGATCCGAATGGTTGTTCGAATGTTGCACAAACAGATTGCCCAAGTGTCACTGTTTTACCTTTTTAAAGTGACTATTTTATGTGGATCCGAACGTTGATTGCCACTGCTGGTATTTCTCAAGAAGGAATTGTGCTGACGGTTTGGTCCGTTGTAGTGCAGCGAGTAGGTCCTCATGCTTCACATCACCAAGCAATTCCCTCCAGTCCTCCGCAGACGCTTCGTGGCTTTGATTACTACTCCTTTGCACAACTTCATCGTTGTCGTCAGACTCGAGCTTCGCTAGCAATCGGCGCACGGGAGCCATGCAGGTCTCCTTCGCTACCAATTTAATATCAGCACCAGAATATCCTTCAGTCATTCTTACAGCCTCGTCAAAGCTAAAAGAGTTTTTAGGGGTATAAGGTTCCAGAAGGGAGGCAAAAAGCGCATGTCGAGCTTCCGCCGGTGGTAAATCTACAAGCACGCGCTTTTCAAGTCGCCTCAGCATGGCAGCATCGAGATCCCAAGGCAAGTTGCTTGCTGCGAGTACGAAAATAACATCGTCAGTTTTGGCTAGACCGTCCATTTGGATCAGTAACTCGGTCTTCATACGACGACTTGCTTCGTGCTCTTGACCTCCTCCGCTGTCACGCTGGCCCATGATAGAGTCAATCTCGTCCAAAAAGATTGTGGATGGCGCGTGATGTCTCGCCAAGTCAAACAACATTCGAATGAGTTTTTCAGAGTCGCCTCTGTACTTGCTGATGATAGACGAAGCAGAGATGTTGAAAAACGTAGTTCGACACTCGGTTGCTACGGCTTTGGCGAGCATTGTCTTGCCATTTCCAGGCGGACCATAGAGAAGAATTCCAGTCCATGGTGAAAGTAAACCTTGAAACAGTTGTGGATACTTTAGAGGCATGACGACGGCCTCTTTCAATAGCCGCTTCGTTTCGACCAAACCAACAACATTGTTCCACCGGACGTCTGGATTCTTTTGGAAAATCTCGCGTGTGATGGTTTCTGCGATCGGGCGAAGCTCCGAATCAAGAGCAAAGGATGGAAAAGGTTTCAAAAGGTGCTCTTCGTAACTGTTTTCCTCCTGCTGTTGTTGATTGTCTGCTCTCTGGAGACCATTGCCAGATTTTGAGTGACGGGTGTGGTTCTGCGCCGGCCTTTGTCCGACAAGGCCGAAATCTGCGTTTGAAGTATCATCTGGGACCTGTTGTTCGGCTTTCAATGGGTTTCCGGAACTTGTATGTGCCGCAATACTTGTCTTATTGTGAATAGCCCGTAACCCAGCATTATTCTCAACACGTGCTTCCATTGGCATACGTGTCGACGTATAATCATTGCGTCGAGCTCGTTTTGCTGCAGCTGCAGCTTTTTTGTCATTCCCCTTGTTTTGTTCATCCGACAGTGATCGTCGGACTAGTATAGGGCGCTTGCCGAACTTGATCTCTTGAAAGTCTTCGTATTCCTGGTAGTGGCCATCAATTCTTAGCGACAGATTGAAAATTGCGTGTCTTTAATCTTACGCACTTGCACGATACGCAGCAAATCTAAATTTTCGACAACTTCATATTTGGAAAGAGCGACGCCTGCCTCTTGCTGAAGCTTTTCAGCCGTTTGCAAATATCCATTCTCTGTGCAGTGTTGCAGTATCATGACGAGGAGACTTCTACGTCGATCAATCATACGCTTTTCTTCCTACAATTGCATTGTTTATACAATATTATAGCATCAGTCGCTAATTCAGGCAGCTCACCGCAAGCCGGCTTTCATTCTGAGCTTTGAGGTGCATTAAAGTGCTCATGATGACGACGTGGTTGTTTTGATTGCGGTTTCACAACTCCAACTATTCTACTTAAAAACTACGTTGTACAGCCTATCATCATATCTATAAGCGACCGCTAAAATGATCCGTGATCGTGAATCCGTCGAAATTTTTATGGTGTACCCATAAAAACACAAGATTCTCAAGCTTTGTAGATCTTTAAAACGCTTTTGTTAAACTGTCGAGCGGCGATGCAGACACTAAACGATAATTTGACAATTTTTGTGACGCAGCGGAAGCTTCGAATGCAATCAGCAAAGCCCGATGAGACTAGCACATGGACAGATGCACTTCAGTATATCGGTGATAATCTTGGTTTCGAAACTGTTAAATTCCGAATCGACTTCAGCAAGTCGAGTAGCATCAACATACATCGACCTGCAAAAAACAATTCCACTGATATTCTCCCAAGAACCACAGAAAACCTAGAATTTACTTGTGAGCTTTGTCCCTTTGAGCGGCAAACACTCGCGTATGTGACGAAAAAAGGAAAAAATAGAGCACTTGTGCACGTTCAATACGAAGTGCTCGAAGAGAAAGCGTTCTCCGTCAATGCAATTTTGGAGGCTCGAGACAAGGACGCGCAACAAATTGTGCAGCAGCTACAGCACAGTGACGGCGTCTTCAGTCTTGTAAACGACTGGACGGCGATTTCGTCTCAGTCTAAAGTCATTATATTTCGAGCGTGCGATGAAATAAATCGCTTTTATCAACTCGGTGGAGATCTGTTTGTTGACGCTACGTTTCCTCCACAAGCAAAGTCTCTGTACAATCTCGATGTTTTATTATCGGAAGTTGATCTTGCGATCTACGCACAGAGCACTTGGGAGCATTTGCACAGTATCTCCAACTCGTCGTGGACTTTTGTGACTCGGCCAAACGAAGTTTCAATCCCAATAAAATTTAAGTGTGGCCTTCCTGCCCAAGACTCGTTTCTTTGTGCACTGGCAATCATAGCCCCACACTGCGAAGTATGGCTACATCGATGGTTTCCAACCTTAGATAGTTTCTGCCAATTTGAAAATATGGCGGTTGTTCCTGTGGCACTCTGTGACCGAGGTCTTACTTGGCAGCATCTCCTTGTTGATCTTTTCTTTCCTTCTTTTCCAATCGGACGGGGCCTTATGACCGCGCGTAACGTGCTTGGAGAATTGTATCCAGCTCTTCTCCATAAAGCTTACGCAAAGTTGAAAGGAAGCTATGCTGCACTTTCAAGCATTCCGACCATAAACATTCTTGAGGAGATTACTGGAATCCCGTGGTAAGCTGACGTTCAAAGTTTATAAGCAAACCCTTCTGTAATTTTTTGTCACAGGACTTGTTGTTATCGTAGAGCAACTGTAAAGTGTTGTGATGATTCAATAGTCGGGCAAGCGCAACTTGAAGAGGCCATTAACGCTGTGTTGTGTTATCAACGACCAATGTCCGGAAAAGACTTCTTTCTTGTAGTAGTAACCTGCGGGAAAGTTGACAATCATCAAGGAGCCTTCCAGCTTGCTATTTCTAGCGAGGAAACTTCGCGTCTCACGTCCGTGATTCTGTATGATGTCTTTAAAAAGCTGTTGCACCATCAAGGTATTGAAACATTTGCAAGCTTTGATCGTGTGTCATCTCCTACATCAATTAAATTGTCGTGGAAGCAACTGTTTGAGTTGGAACCTAACGTATGGTCACTTTGTCTTGACCGACAACATGAGCAACGATTACGACAAGTCTTCCATCACGACGAAGAAAGTGTTAAATTGATGGCAGCCTTCAGTGTGTCAACATTAACGACGATTGCTTTTTCATTCTCTTACGCGCCTCGTTTCCCCAATGAGCCATACGATCAGCAAGTCGAGCTAAATGTAAGTATTGCGCGGGTAGAAAATGACTTTGTACTTACGCCGATAGAAGATATTGGTAACGGATTCCAAGATTTGAATGACGGTCCTAACAGCATCTTAAGAAAACAGGTAAGGTTTTGGATCCAGCTATGGTTGGGCAGAATTTGATATCTTTCGTTAATAGGTGGTGCGATCTCTGAGCGCCGGCGAATACGTTGTGACAGTAACAGCTAAACGTTTAAGTGGTATCAACTCAGCCTCTAAGGCTGATGAACTTAATCTTGCGTGCCCTAGAACCGTGTTGACTTCAGCCTCTGCCGATATCAATCTGCAACTAGTCTTCGATTGCCTTGACATCCAAGGGAAGCGCGAATTGTCCGAACGCGATATTTGCAGATTTCTGCAGTTGTACGAACACGTCAATCCATTGCAATATGAAAATAGTTCACTAGGTCAATTTCTCGAGCGATTTGGAAGACCGGGATCGACAGGATGGATTTTATCCCGTGACGATTTTCGAAACGTTTATTTCAGTCTCGCTGTTAAGTCTTGTCATGAACTCAAAGCCAACGATTCGGGATATAAGAAAACAATATCAGATTTTGATATCCGCGCACGATTTCAAAAGTTAATTTGGGATGATGTTGTTCGTCTAATGTCCAGCTCTAGATGGGGCGTGCAATATGATCGAAACGATGAGGATTTTCCCCTTGAAATAAAGGGTCGCGAAATTGTCGAAGTTGTGTGCAGCTTTCACTCGAATACACCATTACTGGATGTAGTCTTGCTTCCTTCGGACAAGAGCTTTGCCGATTTCACCAGTCATAACATATAATATGAATGTATTCTTCGTATTTATCAATCAACCTCGTCTTAAATCTAAGATAACGTACACAGAAGGCACGCAAGGAGTGTTGCCTCTGATTTTTTGGTGGTCGATCGAGCAAACCTTCTGGATCTCCCGCCGCGTTTTGTTTTGCCAAGTTTAATGTTACTACAATCAAGAAATATCGCCACTAGATTGAGCTTCTGGATATTGATACAATTTGGGTGGAGCCGATTTGAAGAAATAGTCCGTCACGTCAGCTGAAGCTTCTTTTCAAATTCCTGCGTGAGCTCGTCTAGTGTCAAGTTGGGATTGGCCTGAAAAAAATCCAAAAAGGCCTGTGCACCGGCAGCCTGTTGAGCATTTATCTCGCCTTTCTCCTCGGCCTCGTATACAAGATTTTCGGCCTCAAACTGCAATTCTTTTTTATCGTAGTATTCAGGATCGGCCACACGCTTCATTAGATTCAGGAATTGCTCGTACTCGCAGCAAGCCATGAGAATTTGCACGAGAAAACTAAGCCGAGTGTGCCGCTGCCGCTCCTCAGAAAGTGCTATCTCTTCATTGCAGCGGCTGTGATATTGATCCATGGTAAATCCTCTCGTTGAGAGAAACGCTTCGATGCTAGCGTTAGCTGTGTCGATAAACGCCTCATGCAGCTCCTTCCATGTCCTGTTGGCAGCGCTCCACAATGTCAGACATATCTATCTACAAGATCCATAAGCATAAAAAGAGCAACACAGACTGTTCAACTTTATCCAGATCAGCAGCGGAAGGTCCTCCTTTGGTCAGGAGGATGGAAAAGTGGCTTGCGTGGGTGCTGCAAAAGTTGTTGATAGACTCTTGAAAGCTCTCACTTCCCACGTAAGCAGCCACCCACTCCAGCACATCGTCTTCTGGCTCCATATCCTTGACGAGCGGCGTTTCATAGCGTAACAGTAGGTCAATAGCATCAAAGCTGGCCATGGCTTCGAAGAATAGGGGGCAAGACAGTAGAGGCGAGTCGGATTGTGCTCAAGTGAACTTATATAAATTTCTTGTCAAGTGGATCGCGAATGGACAACATATTTGTATGAGCTATGCCGTTTGAGGGTCCTTGCAGAAACGAGGCTTGTGTTCATAAGACACACGTAATTTCGGAAAGTAACCGGAAAAGTAGCAGGATACGTACCGTATTATTACATTTATGTGCAAAGTTCAGAAGTGGCGCTGGGTAAATTACTTTCATTGATTTTACAGATGAGGACGCATGGACTGCAAGATGGAAAGCACATGGGCTACTAGCGTCAGACAATGCAGTACTTGTAGTGCTGAAAATAGGTAAAACTATTTAACTCACATGTGTGGCAAAATCTGGAGATGATTTGTGGTTAGGAGTGAAAGGTAATCAAACTCAAAGATGGCTGGTTTTCCACGAAATCGTTTGATGATAGGCTCTAACCAGGCATATCGATTGCGTTTTAAGGGCTTGTCCATCCACCAAGATAGGCAAAAACTGTAACGGGGTTACACGTACCCTTTTATGAAAGGGCGGGTCACACAAGATGGTGTGATCGTACATTACACAAGTTGGTGTAATCACACAATGGTGTGGCCACACCGTGCATACTATATTAATTACGAAACCTAAGATTTAGATATTGGCGGCTCTGCCGCAACTAAATCAATTAAATACAGTTTCAATCTTAAACGAAAGAGCGTCTTTACCTTGATTAAGACTTTAAGTGCTTGAGGGTAGCGGATTGAGATCCGCTACACTCGTACTGGTTCTCAAAACGAACGTAAGGTCGGTGATCTTAGCTTAGCTTCCTCTAAGCAAAGGGCTACAGCAGCCCCGCTGCAAAAACTAGCAGATTATGCCCAGATGTAAAGAGCTCTTATCGCTGCGATGGCGTCAGAGGCGGTAATGATTGTCATCTTCCATAAGTGTATCCAAAGACAAATGCAGCTCACACTTGGACCTTTCACGTCCACTCAGCCTCATTTGATGAAGAAGTGCGAAGTATAAGCTGAAAGTGGAAATATGTGCGCATCACAGGCGATGCGTAACGGAGTTACACTAGATGGTGTGATCATAAAATGGTGTTTGTTACACAATATGGTGTTCGCACACAATGGTGCGGCTATTTCATTCTTTTCTCTTCTCGAGTACCCATTCGAATGAAAAGTTCGTCTGTATCTATCTGTTTTATTTGCGGCAAAGCCGCCTATATCTTCTCATTCCCTCTTTTCCTACTCTTAAACAAGAAATCAGTACGTAATTGGAACAGCCAGGTGGTATACTTCAATAAGGTTTTTCTATATAGGTAGGAATACCTTTGGAGTTAGATATAGGCGGCTTTGCCGCAAATAAAACCCAGAAAACAGTTGACATTTGAAGCGAAAGAGCTTATTAGCCTTGGGTTAAGGTTGTAGTTACTCTTAAAGTAAGCGAATTGCGATCCGCAATGCTCGTACTGGTTCTAAGTATAGAAAAAAGGTCGCCGACATTAACTAAACTTCCTCGAAGCGAAAGAGCTACGGCAGCCTCGCTGCCCTTGGTAGCACGTGTAGTCAATCTACACCAAATTTGTTACGACTGATTATGAAGCAGTACTCCTATTTGCCCCAGGGCAAGTAGGTCGGACTTAAAAAGTTGATGTCTCTGCTTGGCCCTGAAGGTGTGCAGCACCTCGCTTGGCAAGGACCTGAAGCAATCAGCGCATCCCTAGATGCGTTTTCGAGCCATGAAAATGCTCTGTTAGAGCACCTGCAGCAGAAGATGTCGGCGTCGACTGCGTCCATGACACCAAAGTCGGCGACGAATAACTCCCCTCCGCTCATAATGAGCGTTGAGACCTTCGGGGGCAACAATGGAGAAAATTCTGCTGCTCTGGGTAAGAGAGGCTTAGATATCTATGACGTCCTCCATGATCCAGACCGAGCAACAGCGCGTGACGCTAGCTATCTCCGAATTCGGTGGTCGAGCGCGATAATGGTCACTGACGTGCGGTCTTCCGGTCAAAGCGGGTTTCCCTTCTGGGCGGAGCTGGAACTTCAGCTTTCACCAGTGTTCTCGCCGCCTAAACAGGCATATCGCGTGCAATCTCGTTTTCTTGCTGCCCAACAGGGCAAGAAGGTTTGTCCGAACGTTGAGAGCTCTCATTGCCGGGACGGCTGCCGATCTTTCCCCGAGGCGGTCACAGTGACCTTTTTGATGAAGGGCCTCCACACTGACGTGGCTTAAATTAAATGAAAGTCTTCCGTGTGCACCTGTCCTTTTTTGAAGAAGCAGTAAATGCGGTATTGAAAGCCGAATTCGAGTTTATTTTGGCACGACTTGGTTGGAATGCACACACTAGCATCTCGTCGAGCGGGCCTGATCCGATGGATATTAGCTATACTGAGGACAAGGGTGCAGAGCTCCGAGCTGCCAAGCAGCGTTTGAACACCCAACGGTGTTTTGTCTGCGGTGACACACGTCACCTTTTGATTCATTGTCCCATGCACAAGGCGCGTCAAGATTCATCGAACCAACGTCCCGCTTCTCACCAGTCTTCTGATTTGTCGCGGAGACACGACAACAGCCAGAGGGCGCGGGGCGGCCAATCTGGGGAAGAATTGAGTTCTGTTGAGCCTCAAAGAGGTAGAGGGCAGCAGGGGCCAGCCCCAAAGCGCTTCGTGCTCTTGGACATGGAGCGTGTATGGAAGTCGAGCTTGCTGGTCGTGTTGCGAAGGGCTTTGCGAAGCCATGAAGAATACTGATCGATTACAGGGCGTCAGGCAGTTATGCTCGACGCTCCACGATCGAAGGAAGTCAGTTGTATGCTGAGGCACTGAAAGCGCGGTTGGATGACATCGTCACTGTTTGCTTAGCGACGGGGGCACGTGTCACGCTGCCAAAGGTCCCTTTGGACCTCTGTGTCAAGTTCCTTGACTTTGATAGCGTGGAACGCTGCTTAGTCTAAAACTTGGATTCAAGGTATGACCGTATCTTCGGTATGGCATGGTTGGAAAAGTGATGGATCGGCTAGAGGTCGAAGACCTTGGGCGCTACGCGCACGTCTCCTGGTTGGGCTTCAGTGAATCCTAAACACACCTCAGCTAGGAGGTAAAAACGCTCTTGGCGCGGGCACTGGACCGAAATGGCCAACGTGGTGGAGATCGGAGTATTCGAGTTGATGAACACCGCAGATGTAACGGACAAGAGTCCCGAGCATGGCTCGCGGGCTGAGCGTAGAGTGGCACGTAAGCCACTGAGCGCTGCTCAAGTATCGGAGCAGTCGCTGCATGCCATGCGCAATATGTTCGGCTAAGGGCTGAGGCATCTAAGGCGAGGCCCCAGTGATGCACGTGGAGTGGCACTAATCCACTGAGCACTACTCAATTTTGAAGCAGTCGCTGCATGCCACGAGTGGCATGGCCAGACGAGGTCCGAGGCGTCTTGGACAATGCCCTTAAGGTGCGTCTGGAGTGACACTTTATCCACAGGACGAAGATTGCGGAGATAGCAAAATTTCGTCGCCTGTTGTAAATACGAACGGGAATTCGGTGGAGCAGGGAGTGGGGGCACTGGACGACGCTGAGTACGTGTTCCTTCTGGTCTAACCAAGACGTAAAATCTCTGTTGAGAGACGACGGCGACGCCTTATGCTAGCTACATGACGCAGGGCGTCGACCCTGACTAAGGTTGTGTCTAACGTAGACGATAGCGCACAGCTGTACACCTTCGGCAGCAGTATGACGGGAGAGGAAGACAGCGACGTCACCCTTGAGGCTATTCCTGCGGTGAATGCTCTTCTTGAGCTGGACGAGATGTCCTTCGAAGAGTTAGGCGGTGCCTTGAAGGCAGGCGACTTAGCCGAAGTGGCCATTGTACGACCGAATGAGGGGATCAACTCGTCGTCGCTTCGAAATGAAGATGTCCTGGAGGACACCAAGAGAGTGTTGAACGCACGCAGTGGATCGTCGATCCTAAGAAATTTCTCGGCATCGTACTATCCGTTGGCGAAGGGATTTCAAGACGTCGTCTCCAAGGATCCACCGTCGTTTCTAGCTCCAGGCCGAGGTGTGCGTCATGAGATTGACCTGATTCCGGGAACCGAATACTGCGTAACACGTTAATGGCTCCTGCTTAAGGGGCAGTGCGACGTCATTGACTCCTTCTTCCGTGCGAAGCACGAGGTAGGAATGGCGCGTAAAAGCAAGTCTCCCCATTCGACACCCACGTTTTGTGTCCGAACGGCAAGTGGCGTATCGTACATAAAGCTAAGTGCTGCCACCATTCCGGCACAGACGCCGATGCCTGGAAAGGATGTTCTCCAGAACACTATGGTTGGCTAAACATAGTACAGCGCACTCGACTGGTCGATCGTTATTACTAATTACTCGGGGTGGATGCTCTGAGAGTGGCTGGTGATGTTCCAAGGGCTGCCAAGTGCACCAGCAACATTCGACTGTCTTGTGACGCCACTGTTTACGCCCCATCGGGCGTATGTGCAGACATACTTCGACGACATCTTCGTCCACAGTACAAGGAGTTACTTGCGATGAAGTATGCACTTGTCAAGTTCAGGGTGCACCTGCTCGGCTCTAAGCCGTTCGTGATCTACACAGATCATGCGTCACTACGCTCTGCGACTCAGTCACCTCACCTCTCGTAGAGGATGCCCAGGTGATAATTCGAGGTAAGGTGTAATTCAGGAAAGCAGAATGCATCGGCCGATACGTTGTCTCGCAGACCAGAGTATGAGCTTGCTCATATCATGACAGTGATGATCCGCGCATCGTACGCGGGTGATGCTATGTGCGTAGCGCTGCCACAGGATCTAGGGAGCAAGGACTTTGGAAGAAGTTTTCCTCATGATGACAGTCGAAGTTTTGTATCCTCCGTGAGGTTCACGACACCCGACTCAGTGGTCATCTTGGTCTAGAAAAGACCTACAGCTTTCTGATTTGCCACTACTGGTGGCCCATGCTGTACAAATGGACGAGCACTTATATGCGCATGTGTGAGACGTGTCAAAGATTGACACTCTCCCCGAATGTGGCGGCGCCGCTTGCCAGGTTACCGGTACCCTCCTCGTGTTGGCAGTTCATGAGTTTGGGGTTTGTGTTTGGCCTGTCGAAGCCTTCGGCGGGCAACACGGGTGTTCGTCGACCGTTTGAACAAAATGGTATATCTTGCGGTGATGCCGGACACCATCGACGGTGTCAGTACAGCGACGCTGTTTTGCTGATCGTGTCTTTCGGCAGCATGGACTCCCGGAATCAATTGACTCTAATAGAAATCCAGCGACACTGGGAAGTTTTGGTCGAAGAGCTTCAAGATGCTCGACACCAAACTGGATATGCTGACAGCGGACTATCCGCAAACCGTTGGTCAAAGTGAGCGCGTGAATTGCGCCGTCGAGGACATGCTTCGCAGCGTCTACTTTGAGACTCCGAGGCACTGGATCGCCACTCATAGAGTTCGCTCTGAACAATGCAGTGCATTCGGCTACCGGCTACACGCAACAACGTGAACGGGTGTGAACGGACTTGTTCATCCTCGCATCCCGCTAACGCCGCCATCCAATGGCTAGGGATTGTGGGGGAGGAACACCCGAGCAACTAGCTGAAGTCAGCCCTCTCACTGTACGTAACGAAATCGATGACTTCTTGTCTTCAAGACTGAGTGTCTTATGACACGTTCACGATGCGGCGGCTGAAAGCCAAGACATGCAGAAGGAATATGCGGACAGAAAGGGTAGAGGAGATGTAAGAGCTTTGAGTTCGCAGACACGAGTTTATTGAATGCGAAAAGCCATCCTACACATGCAATATCTGCTGTCTTTAAGACGAAGCTCCGTCCACGGTTTATCGGACCTTTCAGGGTTGTGGCTAAGCGGGGCCTTGCGTATACGCTAAATCTACTGAAACGGATACGAACCCACCCGGTGTTTATGTGGACTTGCTCAAGCCGTATCGGGATCAGGCGCATGTAAACGTAGAAGCATTGGCCCCGGAGCGGCGCCCACAGGCGCTCGACCACCCAGAAGTTGGACCAGCAACTGGGTTTGAGCACGGAATGCAGCGTTCTCCATTTCCAACAGCCCCAATCGCTCTGCCTTCGCATGAAACGACACATTCGGTTGCTCAACGGCTAGGAGCCGCTCCGACAGAGCAAAATAGCCTTCAACGCGAGGCAGCCGGTGCACAACGTGCTCCAAGCTCTCCAAGTCTTCCGCGCAGCGGTATGCGCCCTAGTATGACGCTCAGCGGAGTCCCGATCGCGACGAACCCCGATCTGAAGATCTCGAAGAGCATCGCGTGTCACCGGATGGCGATTGACCAAGTCGTCATCGTCAGCCGCCGACTCTTCTCGAAGAGAACAGTGGTGCGCGGGACGTCTTGTGGGTCGACGTCGTCACCACGGTCAGCCCAGTATCTTGTGAACTGGCGGGGATTCCCCGATTCCGATAACTCGTGATAGTTTGAGGTGCCGCCTCGGCTAGACTGCCCAGACGTCGTGAACGCTTGTGATCAAAGGGATCATTACGTTCACGTCGTCGTACGCCCCGCGCTTCTCAGCAATTACCGAGGAAACCGAAGACCATAAGCTGAGCACAAGCTATGACCCTGAACTGCTGCGCTCGCAAACACACCCGTGTGAGAGACAACAGAGAACGTGAGCGCATGAGGAATCAACCCATAAGTAGCAGGGCGACAATACGAAGGAAGTTGGCGGCGCGCCTTGGGTCTGACAAACTTAACCCCGAGATGGCGCTCTACACGCGAGTCCACTTCCCGATGGCTCAACTGTAAGCTGCGCAGCAAGGAAAGCTTTCGATGCCGCTGCACCCATCGCTCAAAGTACCCTTTGTCATCTGCAGCGGTTTCGACAGGGACGAGCACCACAGGAATCGCCCACATCGCGGGTAAAGGAGCGCCTTTTGTTTGAGCACAAGGTCGAGCGCGGTACTTATCCATCGGGATTTCTAGGGGAACCAAGAAGCAAATTTGGAGAGCTTGTGTAGTGGCCTTGGGGTCGATCAGCTTCTGCAGCGGGATCCGCCGAGCAAAAGCCGTATTCCACACGAGAGTCAGATCGCTTCAACCTGATTCACTTCGGAAATACCAATTATACAAAGAATTTCGAAAATGAATTCTTATTTTCATTCGTGACTCCCTGGGGTAGGGTTAAAAGTTTTCTACGAACATGGAAATATATATGGTCATGTCAATTATCCAATGGAAGCCATTAACTTGTCAACTTTTTCTAGCTGTTCGGATCAGATAGTCGAATATTGCGTGTTTTTTTATTAGAGGGACTTATTTCTCGAGCCTCGGTCGTGCGTGTGATACCAAGTGCAATGAGGATGCCGTGCCCCTCTAAACGACGATGCCCTGTTGCAAAAGTTATGATTCACAACGCAGAAAGGTGAAGTCGATAAAATCTTTGCAGGAACCAACTTGAGGGCGTCCCAAGGAACTCAGTTGCTCATTGTTCTCTTTTTTCATAATGAAGACTTGTACTAAATTATCTGTTTGACAATATACAAAAATAAGCAATATATCTTGCAAAAGTGACGCGATCCACGCAAGTGTGCCGCAGGTACGCAGACCCCCCTTCACCGATATCTAAAGTTATAATCAGTGCAGGATGCCTCTGACTTCTGTACTTACACGAAAGCATCGGGTTTGTTTTGCACAACAGTGCAATATGTTTGTACTCAACAAACGTAGATCAGACTTCGTTTATTTATGAAACCACCAAATTAAAAAAGCAGAGTAATTTGGCACATGGTACTCCAATTCATTTTGTCATTCTGATAAGATCATGATTTGGTTACCCAATCAGCACCAAGAAGTTGTTCTCCATATTAAATTATTGATTCATCTGTCGGACCAAATTGTGCTGCTTAGCTTGCAGAACGCTGTCTAATGAGATATTCGATAATGACTCCCAATTCTTATTCTTTTTTATTTCTTAAATAGAAAAAAGCAGGCCAACGGCAAGGTGTTTAAATTTCATTTAAAAGACTAGGTAACAGACTGCAGTATAAATACTGCTTCCAAGAGCATAAATTTTACAATGGGTCTCAAAGGATTCCCCTTCAAAACATCGCTTAATTGCTCCTAACAATTTCATTCGTTATGATATCATTCGATATAGAACGATCGCGAGGCGACATTGATATTATTCGATATAGAACGATCGCGAGGCGACATTGTCATTTCATAAACAAGATTATGCCCGTAAGTTGCATAAGAAATATCAATGTAATGAAAAAAAAACAAGTTCGAATGAGCAATTTCCAAAATCACGCAACATCCCGAATTTCATCATCTACGAGCCCAGCAACTAATTGTCCTTCTCATATCTCTTTTCACTATCTGCTGATTTTCATCACTCAAAGACTCAACTATTTCATGAGCCCACAAGCCTGTCGAAGTCGACCCACAAGGCCTTCAACGTGATAGTGGATGCCACCATTCTCATCGAGAAGAGTCGGCGGCGGACGATAATGACATGGTCGATCGCAGTCCGGTGACTCGAGATGATCGTTGAGCGCTTGAGGACAAAATTTGTTTTCATCAGCACTTCTTGCTTAGGTCGCATACCGAAATGCGGAAGACCTCGAGAGCCCGGAACACTTTTTTCACCGACTGTCTCGCTTGAGGATTTTTTCGTGCTCTGTCGGAGCTGCTTCTAGATTTCGAGCAGACAAAAACGTCACTTCGTCTGACAGTGGAGCGCCTTGCGCCGATTAAAACGGAGGATTTTGCACTCCGTGCTCAGAATCAGTTGCTGGTTCCGCTTCTGGGTGGCCGAGCTCCTTTGGGCGCCGCCCCGGCACCAACGCTTCCGCCTTTACTTGCGCCGGATCGCGGTATGGAATTAACAAGCACACATAAAACACCGGGTGAATGCGCATCCTTTTTGGAAGTTTCAGCGTATACGCTGGGCCTTGCTTGGCCACGACCTTAGAAGGTCCAATCAACCGTAGACGGAGCTTCATCTTAAAGACAGCAGAAATTGCATGCGTATGAAAGTTTTTGCATTTAATGTAACCAGGTCTCCGACCTCTATGTTTTCAAAATTTCTGCCTCGTCTCCGTCTGCATATTCCTTCTGCGTGT